TTTTTTTTTCTTTTTGTCACTTGGCAGACTATTGTTTCAGATTGCTCCTTTCTAGCTTCACTAGCCATCAGTGCTGCATATGAGAGAAACTTTAAAAAGAGTCTTATCACAAGGTAAATTTATTTTGAAGGTAGATGTTCTACAGTAAAATTAATAATTAACAATTAATAATGGTAATAGGACTGAGTGGAGTCCAATTCAGTCTGTAATCATACAAGTGATTAACAAAATCGGACGACCGCGAAGCAGGAGCCCAATTTGTTAATCACAAGTATGATTACAGACTGGATTGGACGACGCAAAGCCCAGTTACCAATTAATCAAAACTATGACAAAATTCGAGAAACAACAAACCATCGATTGACCCCTGAACGATTAAACGTCATTATGAATGCTGAAAAACACAGCAGTTTACTCAACAAAGTGCACCACAACAGCGTGCGCAAAATGACACGTACTGTNTTCACTTGACTGTCAAAAGTTATTCACTTTTTCTTTGTTTTGTTTTTTTTTTTATTTCTGCACCGAACGATTGGCGCAAAAATCCAATCAGAAGTAAAACCAATACTTATGGTGACTCTCTCGAACGCGTTTTCTCTCGTTTCGCGTCGGCTACATAATTTCGCGACGGGTTTTGTGTGATTCACTGGATTGTTTGTGTCGTTTTTGATAGATCAGAGTGATTATTTTGGCGCTGCTTTTACGACACTCGATTGAAAATCACTTTAAGATTACAGTCTCCTGACGTTTTTCTCCTTGAAACTGCAAAGTTTGCAATGCCTTGACTTCTCCTGCTGCTTTGCCTTGCTTTCTTTTGTTTAATCCCATTACGTTTATGGGTTCTGATTTATACAGTAATTTAGAAATGTATTGTTCCATTTTCACTGGACGTCCTTACAGTTAAATCTGATAAAATGTACACTGTATGAATAGAAATACAGTGTTATTTTCCGTTATTTGTTCTCAACTCCTGATAACTCGAATTCCCGATAACTCGAACTTTTTTCAATTTGCCTTCATGGTTCGAGTTATCGGGAGTTGATTGTACTACTAATATATTATCATGCACGTGATTCACAGGAGACAATCCGCAATACAAACTGGAGTTGTTGTCATCTGACAGTGATGCTGTTGTTTGGATTCTGCTCACTCGACATATTACACGAAAGGTGTGCTCTTCACATTAATATTTTCCTGTGGTCACTGCTGTGAAATGTAGTATACGTTGATCCAGAATTTTTCTGAAACTCATTACAGAATGGCTGTTCCAAACAGGGCCACCTAACTAAATTCTTTTCAAATTAACCAAAGACGTTTGTATTTTTTTTTATATATATAATAGTAAAAAATTTTTTTTTTCCCATGGCGTGTAATTTTATTGGACCAATAATTTGTCTGCAAGCGACGATTTATGTTGGAAGATCCCTGACCCTGTACATCTTTTGTTTTATGCTCAAAGACTGTGCATGAATTACATAATCGCAATGCTTCTAGTGGTTAGTTGTATGAGCACACATAACCAACTTTTGTATTTTTGCCAGGTTTTGTGCAGGGTCAACCCCCAAAATAGCCAACAAAAACATACAACAAAGAACTTTGCCAGGTTTCAAAACCATTTCCCTCTATTAACTATGCTTTGGTACATTGTTTCAGTCTGATGCCTAAAGTTCTTTAGTTAATGGAGTGTTCCCGATCTGGCTTTAAAATCTTATTTTTGATTTGGCTGAATAGAAAGAGGAACTTAGAAGTTACCTGCAGTAAACACCACTTTTTCATAGGACATCACACTACAATCACAAACTGATGTTTATCCTCCATGTCACAGGATGATTTCGCCGAGAACAAAGAGTTCATCACAGTTCACGTGTACAAAACAGATGGCGGCAGAGTTTTTTACCCGGGTTAGTTAACGGCGTTGTGTTGTTTAAAGGCCACCATCATCGCTTCTTTGTGGTAAAGAAGCGATGATCTTTGAGGTGGCAAGACTAGAAAGAGAAGAAAAATGCATTGCTGGACATGGCTCTTTTACTTTGCTCTATTTTAATTGTTGTTTTTCCGCTTATCCCTTTGAAAATCTGCAATAAAGAGATGTCGTATTTTAAAACACAAACTGAAGAACAAAAACTTGTTAAGTTCTTTATCGTTGGGAGGCTAATCGGTTAGCTATGCAAAAGCTGTAGAAATAAATTAGTCTGGTCGAAGAGTTTAAGGCAGGACCTTCCATATCTTATCGCCTCCTACGGGTTAGCTAGAATGAAGGATTTGAGCCAGGGACGTCTTAGAGTTGAAAACCCCCATACTTGTGTGTGGTGTCCCCAAAACTACTTCAGTAGTATTGTGGAGGAATGAAGCTTGTCGTTCCGTCTTATTCTTAGTTTGTTTTTTTTGTTGTTTGTTTGTTTGTTTGTTTTTTTTTTGTTTTGTTTTTTCGTGTTTCAGACAACCCGTTCTTGGAAGGAACAAAAATTAACAGTCCTTTCTACTTGGCCAAACTGAATGCTCCCAAAGGAACAAACCGATTCACGCTAGTGGTCTCTCAGTACGAGAAAACCAATACCATTCACTACACTATCAAGGCATGTGCCTTACTAGTTGTATTTGGTTTTCTTGTTTTGATTTTGTCTACATTGATTTACATAAGTATTAAGTGTTTACTTAGAGTTTTGGTTTACTGAACTTGGTTGAATAGCTGACGTGCTCTAACCAATCACACTGACGCTATTCTCTTTATAGCCAATAAGGTGCAAACGCCGAACCATCGGCAGATATTCCCGCGCTCTCCACAACTTTCATGTTTCCCGCGCTAACAATGCCTACATATTTTCCCGCGCTTACATGCTTTTCTACGATTGCTACTTTTTGCATTTTTGACGCTTTTCCATCGGTTGAAGGGGTTTTCCTATGTCGTTCCTACATGTAGTCGTCAACTGCCGTAATTTCCTACAATATCAAGTCACTGACTTGATATCACTACATGTTTGCTCGACTTTGAGTACAGTCGATACCTAGTTGTATCTTTGTGCTAGGCTTCGGCGCCAAATCAGGCTCGTTTGATCGCGTCTTTGTTATTTCCAATCAATACGAACCATGGATCGACCAAATTCGCCTGATATGTTGGTTAACTTTACCAAAAAGGTTAATTTAACGGATAACATTTTATTCTCTCACACAGGTATTTTCCTCCACTGAATTTCGTTTATCCCCCGTTCCTGTTCCATACACAGTTGAAAAGCAGGTTAGAGATAACATAAAGAACAACCACAAATTTACCCAAATCTTGATGTAGCGTAATTGATAAACTTCCTGTACTTAAACTGAAAACATGGAACGGCTGTCTTATTTGACTGTTGAATGTTTTGGATGTTATGGTTAGTGCGCTAGTCTCCGGATCAAGCGGTCCGGGTTCGAGCCCTGGCCGGGGACACTGTGTTGTGTTCTTAAACAAGACACTACTCTCACAGTGTCTCGCCCTACCCAGGTGAATAAATGAGTACCAGCGAATTGTTTGGGCGACCTGACGGAATGCTTAGGACGAACCTGCGATGGACTAGCATCCCATCCAGGGGGGAGCAGCCATACTCTTAGCCGCTTTATGCCTACGCGTAAAGAGCCGACACGCGACTATGGAGAACGTTTCTTTCCGTGTAACACGTGTTCTGTTTTTGTATTCAGGTCAGTGGTGAATGGCGTGGCAGCTTAGCCGGTGGATGCCCAAATTACTCCACACATTCTAATAATCCAGTCTATCGCCTGAAGCTAGAGACTTCCTCGCCTTCAAAAACTGCTGAAGTTCTCTTAAAACTACGTGGACCCAAGTAAGTTTATTTCTGTTAATTTTCTTGTCGCTTTTACTTTGCAGTCGCAGAAACGATTGATAGTTTGAACAAATCCTCAGCAGAATCTTGCATTTTGAATCCGAAATAAAGGAGCTCAGTCACAGTATTTTGAGTAATGTTGGCCATGTGCAAAATTACTTTTTAATTGAAGGAAACGTTAACCTGAAAATAGTAATTTACAAAAATAGAAAAACACGAGAGATAGCAATAAACCATAAACCATTGGTAAAGGATGGATAAGATTAACACGGATTACAAACGACGAAAAAACCAGAGCAAAAGCAGGGGCTGGTTTCCCTGTTTATTTACCTACCTCTTTCATTAGTTAGAGGAAATCGTGTCACGTGATTTCTGCTTAACCAATCAGAAATCAGTCGTCACTTGGTTCACGTCACTTTTCCCGCGCTTTTCACCGATCGCCAGCTGGTGCTTCATGATTGGTCAATTTTCAGGTTTTAGATGTACGATTACGATTACACGAGTAACAAGATGTCATGGTTGTTTGTTTGTCTTGCAATTTAGGCAATTTTCAGTGGGAGCCATATTTCGCTCAGTTGACCGAGCCTCTGACGGAAAGCCTGTGTACGAGGCCTACTCTGAAACTTACAGGTAAACGACCCGAAATCTGTCGAATGTTTTCGAAGCAACTAAGGCCTTCCGAAGACTTCCGAGAATGTCCGAAAAAGTGATCAGAAGATTTCGCTCGCTATACGAGCTACGATTTGGAGATAGATGCTAGATGATCGGGAAGTTAAGGATGAAACGATTCTTCTAATCTTGGTGTAGACTGAAAGTAAAATGAAAATAGGATATGTTTAGAGAGACGAGACGAGAGAGACGTTTAGGCGAGCGAAGCGAGGATGTGCTAATTCTTAGCTCGGGACGTCTTGTGCAATCACAACGAGCGACCCTAAAATTGCAATGCCTTCTTCACTTTCAGGCCTGGCTTTTACGTTCAGCAGCTGACCAGGGTGCCCGAAGGAACGTATGACGTGATTCCTTCCGCGTTTTACCCCGGACAAGAAGGGCCATTTATATTGACGATAGCAGCAAGTTGTAGGATTGCACTGGCAAGGAAGTAGACAGCACGACAGAAAAGAAAGTCAAGCGAGTCTGCCGTGTACACGTTTCTTAGCTGGCGGCAACCTCCTTCCCAGGGTCTTTTCGGTTTTGCTTTCCAGTGAAGATCACTGCTACAGATGAACGAGGAGCACTGGGACGAGTTCAAAATTACTGAGTAGGGGAGGGAAAGGTGGAAAAAGGGTGGAGGGACAATACAATATGGCTTACCAGCCTCTAAATGAGCACATTCAGAATTCAAACCTGAACAAATGAACTGTTCTTGAAAAGAACGAGAATATATTAGAGTACAATGCTAAGTTAACTGAGCAGCTTTCCCGGAAATGCCTTCTTGGAATTAACCTTTTGTAACTGTTCATGTTGAAGAGAAAGGACTTCTCGACGAGTCATAGTTCTTCAAATTTCACGACAGCCAACTTGACTAGTAATTTGTGGATATCTGACTTTTGTAAAAAATACAGTCCAAACGAAGAAAACATTAACTTTTTGTAAACGCCCACTTTTCTCAACGAAACAGTCGTTAAGCTGACAATGGGATCGTGTAAAATACCAGCTGCTTAAAACTTTTATTCTTAGTAGAAGACAATAACGTCCATAATTACAATGTTAAGATAATATTGCCTATGAAATAGAGATGAAATAGTTTTAAGTGAAGAAATATAATTAATTTTCTGTCCGTGGCAAAAGAAGATTTATTGTATGCAAATATTTCTCATTTCTTGTGAGTCCAGTATGGCCGTCGCGAAAAGTCTTTGTAGTTCAAAGTTGAAATGGAGATGAACAACGAAGGACATTTTCCACGCATCGAGGTAAATTAAATACCCTCTGCTGCTCAAGAGCATTGCTCGGTGTATGCCGGCGAAGATCCATCGCAAATTAAGGTATCTGCTGTCCAAACGATAAATCTGCGATGAGACTTCGCATGCGATAGTGTATGATTTGCCAATCAGAGTATGAGAAAAAAAAATTTGCACTAGTCTGGTGTGCACTAAAAATTTAATGAACCTTTGCATTGCGGAGCGCAAACACATTTATATAACTTGGTGCCATTTGTATGTAGAGTAAGTATTTTCCGTAAATTAATGTTTTCTACTTGTTTGTGCCAGATTATAAATATATGGATGAAGGTGCTATGGATAATAAAGTAATAATATAATGGCAAAGGAGTGGAAAATGAGAAAAACACTGTTTGTCATGAATGTAAACGGAGTTACTCAGAAGGTTCCGAGACGTTTTAAAATACCCACGCTAGTTTATAGTACTCTTGTAGTTACAAAAAAATTCCGAAAATTTCGGTTGGAAATTTCTGTTCGGGAAGAATTGAGGTTAATATGACGCAACTGCCATCGTTAGGCTTCACTGTTTTACTTGAACTGATGATGCAAAATGGTAAATGGAAAACGGAACTACCTTTTCAGAAGTTCCTTTTCCGCACAGAACATTTTTTAGCGGACTGAAATATAAAGTTATGTTCCGTTTATTCTCAACTGGTATTTTAAAACAACTATTCCGTAAAATGGCAAGCAATGATGGTTGCTGTTCTTTTGGCGTAAAACAGTCCAAGTAGACGAAGCTTTATTTGTTTTTTTTCTTTTTTTGATGGGGGAGGGGAAGGGGCAAGTCTTATTTTAAAATCCCAGTTCACGCTTAGTTTTTCTCATTTGCATTGTAATGTAATCCAAAGTGGATGCGAGGCAATTTCGGGCTAAAAAAACAAAATAGCCTGAGTTAAATTGCCTCACGCACATGCGAGATTATATTTTAAAGCAAATGATAAAGGTTAACTGTGAAAAGGGATATTGACGTTACTTTCAAAAGCAATTTTATGCTTGTAATATTAAACTGAAACAGGCAAAGCCCGAAACGTCAAGTGTTGATTTTGTTAAAAAAGAAAAAACTCAAATACTACTCGTATATTCAAATTTGCGGCATTCGTCTATTTGCCGGATAATTGTTGAAGTAGTCAACAGGTTAAGATGAATTGTAATTGTGTCATTACATCTGTTTGCCAACATGCCCTGGCAAATGGCAAGCGCAAACGTTTGACGCTTGCTCAATGAACAAATAAATACAAAAAATCCGCGTTTGTTAAACTGAGCAATGAAGTTTGAAGTCTTTTTCACTAAAAACGCCTTGAGTTAAATACAAGTTATGAGATGAATTCCACATTTCGTCTTTAATTTAGCGTTTACCTCTCGTGGGATTTGAACATGTGAAAGAAATCTCACTGAAGCCAATCAAACATTGCCAAAACCATTTAATTGTTTTTCAAGTTATGAAGAGTGCTTAAGATTCGTATTCAGAATCGAGAACAGATTACCGAAGGCTTTCACCCGATTGTTTCTTTCACAACTGGATCAGTAAAATCGCTAATTGACAATAATTTGTACCTATGACTTGGCATCAATTTATTTACAAGTGTCTGAATAAATACGTTTATTAACATTTTGGCTTTGATATCTGGGAAAGTTTACACTTGGTTCAAGCGCGTATCGTTTCGACTTTAAACGCTTCTTCCGTTTGTGTACATTGCATGTCAAGCAATGATTTTCAAGAATATTGCGGGAATTGTAATCCGGTAAAAAAATCTTGCAAGAAACGGTAAGTATTTTTTTTTTTTTTTTTTGTCTTTTATGAACATCGATTGTATTTTTTGCTATTTATCTTTTTTTTTTTTCATTTTTTACCACTGATGTATGTTTACCGAAACTTTAAAACGCGTTATATTTCACAGAGAAACATTTTATAAGCCTATTTTAGCTCGGTGCAATATCCAGTTTTCAAAGCTTCAAGTTGATACCGAATTTGAAATACATGTAGTTCGAAATTCAGCAATATCTTAAGATTACTGTAGACCTTCAAGGGTGGCTTCCGGGAAAATCTTTTTGTTTGCACTACTTTAAGGAAAACCACGGGAAAATATCTATCGTTGTATAGCTAATAAACTGCAAAATCCGAAAATATCATTTTTTTTTTCTGCCGTTGGTAGGCTCGCGCAAGCCTTTAAGCGCAAAACTGGGCGTACCAGAATTATCACTCAGCGTTTCCGCTGACATCCCAGTAAACTGACTGGCCCCGGGTTGTTCAAAAGGTGGATAACGCTATCCACCGGATAAATCACTATCCAGTGGATAGTGTGGTTTGTTTTGTTAACAGCTATCCACTGGATAGTGAAAAACCAATATATAAAAAACGTATTTCGATCAACAATGCTGTAGCTCATTTTGAAACGTTCTTTTTAATTCAGTCCGCTTATAAGCTCCCCTGGATATAAGCCCCTACATTTATAAGCCCATCCGAAACTCCTTACGAAGTTGTATAGGCCCAGGGCTTATAAGCGACATTTTACGGTATTGTCTTTTGCTTGTTGTGTGACACGAGTTCACAGTCTGAAGCGAGTTTCTTACATAGCTTTCAAGAGAACGCTGTCGGTGCCGAGAGATGAACAGAAGTTTCCTTATCGTTTTCATCGCATTCACAGAATTAACCTTTGGTAAGTTTTAGAATTGTTCGTTATGTGGTGTTTTTTCTACTGGCAACAACAATAAGAACGGCATCAGACTTAAATGCCCCGTCCACACACACTACGCCGGAGAGATTTGAAAACGGAGCTTTATTTCTGCGGTTAGGCCTACCGTCCACACTAATCCGTTACGATAATCATGTGATTTCCCTGCCCCAGTTTTCCTCAACCACAAATCCAAAATGACCGGTGATTGTTACGTTTTCAAATATCGCCGGTGTAGTGTGGATGGAAAACATTTGATGCGTTTTCAGAGTGAAAACCCCGTTTAAAATTTCTCCGGTATAGTGTGGACGGGGCCTAAACTAAACAAAGGCAGAAGTATTATTGTTCCAGATGGGGCAAGGTAAAACTATAAGCTGCGAAATTACTCAAGAACTAGCTGTAATAATAACAACTTTTTTGTGGCATGCTGAGGCGAAGCAATTTACTGTTAACTTGATAGGAGCAGTATAACATTTAAAATAACTATCTTGTGCGCGAACGCCTTAATACTAATAAAATTTAACTGCAAATGGAAAAGCAAAGTGGTTCAAAATAACGCGAAAATGTTTTACTAGTACTCGATAGACTTTCTTCAAACTTCTACTGGGGACAGATAATGAATTACTTGTTTCAGAAATGAAAAAAAATGGGGGTCACGGACTTCGTTTCAGAGATAAAGCGTGTGGAAAACTAGTCTGAGTTGGAAAAATTGACGCACGTAAACCAGCATGGTCTCCAGGATTTTTAGCTTAAACTATCATAGATGAATCGACGGAGACAAACCATCCTAGTAATATTTTGTACAAGTGAATCCTTTGCGTTAATAATTCCAAATGTTGCTAAAGTTTTCACAGAACTTAACCCTTCAAGAGGCATTTGAAACCGCCGCGCAGATAAATGAAGAGCTAAAAGGAACGGAATTCGATGGTACATTTTGCAAAAAATTCAAACTTACAATCGATAGATAACGTAGAAAATCGGTAGAGAAAATGATCCATCATAAGAAAAATAGGGGTCACCGAACGTCCAAGATCGTTAAATCCAGGCAATCTGTGCTTAGCTTGCGCTTATGCTTGCGTTTGCGCTGCAACAAGTGAAAATGAAATGCCGCTCAGGCATAACACAAGCACAAGGATATTTACCACACGTGGTTGTGTTTGGCCAATGAAAACACTGGATCCAGATTACCTTGCGCCTAAAAAGTTTGGAAGGTTCGCGTGCTTGTGCTTGTGTTTGCGTCGAATTTCGTTTTCACTTGGGTCATCCCTATTGCTAGCGCTTGTGCTTGCGCTTGTGCATGCGTCGATTGTGAAAACCGGGTTTTAAGCTCCCTATTATCTTTTAATCTCGCCGGTCACTTAGGAAAGCACAATTATAGGTACTTTAATTTGAAAGTCATTCTCTAGTAACGTGCGTGGTTTATACATATACTCTCAGGTTTTTCCTTTTATCAAGTTGAGTACTTGAGTTACAAATTGATGGTTTGAAGAATGACTGTATTTTTTTTACAATACACAGTAATTTAAGTAGTAATAAATCCATTTATATAACTTGCTAATGTTATAAATTTCACTTTGGATAGCAGTGGCGTCATTCTCAAATGACTGTCCGGAGAAATGCGACATAACTTACGACCCTCTGTGCGGAAGTAACGGCCGAACGTACAAGAACAGCTGCCACATGGCGCGCGACAACTGCTTTGCAAAAACCAAGGTGGTGGAGATTCACAAAGGAGAATGTTTAAAGAGTGAAGATGATAAAGCAGAAGAGATACAGTGAGTGCTGATTGTGTCTTGGTGATCTCGCGCATATCTTAAATTGAGAAATTGGTATAAGTATATTTTATATTTAGTATAAAAAATAATATTTTCAATATCTTGGTATCAGTACAGTTAACTTTTCATAGTGTGCTTTTGTGCGCTTTTTTTCGCGGATTTTTGGTCTTGCTTTCCTTTTGCGCATTTGCGCATTTGGCCTTGCTTAGCTATTCTTTATTTCATTTTGTACGCTGATAAAAGTATTTTTTTTCTTTTGTTAAGTCTTAAGTATCTTTAAGGTAGGCCTTTACATAAGCCTTATTGACTTTCCTGGGCTTCCTTGCCTTATAGATTGATTTTGAAAATATATTTATAAAGGGCAAAAATAAGACCAACAAAAAAAAAACAAGAAATTATCGAATTTTATTACACTTAACTGAAGTTTATCTTAAAATCAACATTGCTATAAGAGCATGACTTGCTGACGTTGTCGTGGATAAACGATTATAATTTTTTTTTTTGCACCTCGTGATCATAAAACTGCAAGTAAATGGCGAATTTTACCAAAGAATCCCTCGTCAAAAAGCACCAGTAAGTTTCACTGCAACATAAAAGACACGACAGATTGGAACAGATTAGAAGCCATTCCACCTTTCTCATCTCAGATGCCGAAAGACGGATCGCCAAGCATCAGATGAGGTAAACAGATTAACCAGAATTTCCAAAAAACCTTAGGAGGTAAAATTCACTCGGTTTAAAAAAAAAAGATTCCGCAGTATTTCAACGCTACGGCCCGTATCGCAAAATGTAACCATCATGCAAAAAGAGTTAGTAGCCGTATGTTGAACTTACGTTGAATTGGGTTGGGTGACCAAACGGTGAAAAACGTACGTCGACTTGGGTGCAAATTTGATCTCGCCCAAGGTGAGCACAAGTCATCACAAGTCAACGCAAGTGCACACAAGGCCTGGACAAACGGAGTCGCAAGTAGGCCCAAGGTTTCAACTCTTTTAACTGACTGTCTGCGGTGACATTCATTTCAAAATTTCTGTAAAGTAAAGCCTCATTTTATTTCCTCATTGGTATTAAACGACAGAATTAGACAAACCTTTATAGGAAATGGCGCAATAAGTGGTAGATTTATAGTGAGTCAATTTTGTCCTTTTCATCGGAAAGCAGCCCTCTAGTAGTTATTCCTTTAGTTTAAGTGAACAGAAAGTGCTTCATGGTATTTTTCGAGACGTTTCGGGAAAAACCCCCTTCATCAGTCGCAAATTTAACGCTTCATTTGCGACTGATGAAGGGTTTTTTTCCCGAAACGTCTCGAAAAATACCATTAAGCACTTTTTGTCCACTTTAACTAAAGCAATTCAGTTCAAAGTGCCACACAGCAACAACTTGTTTTACCTCTAGCAGTTATGTCCACCTCTATGAAAATGGCAACAGTTGTTTTCCAAAGTTGCCGACGAGCAACTTGGGATTTCCACTAGACCAAACACACACCGGGTAATCGAACAATGAAAGGTCATGAAACAATCACTGAAGTAAATTGTCGCAAAATATCGCGGTTCTTCGTTCTTCTTCCGCCGTATCTCACAAAACAGTTTATAAAACGTTCGTCTTTAGTAGATATAGACTAATAATTCCTCCCCAATGACAAATATCGTGATTTTACTCAACATCGTGCAATAATTTTTGATTATTTCTACAACCGTATATTCCAGTTGTTTTTCAATAAGTCAGCTTAGTATGTGTATAGTGGGAAGGTTTTCTGTAGCAACCGCACCCAAATTTGCAATTAACCAATCGGAAGCCGTGTCTATTGTCCTCATATGCTGCGAAATCCTGTGATATCTACTTACTGAAGTGACATGGTGCATGGTCGAATTTATAGACGAAATTGGGTCCTGTAAATACCTAATCGCGCCTTTCTGGTACGTTTCGGTGGCATATCAGGCCCGTTTAGTCTTGCCATGGGTATTTCGGCTTGACTGGGTCACATCAAGATACGAACCATGCATGCTTGACCAAAATCGCCTGCACGATCATGCTGATATGGCGCGGAATCACACCGTAAATGTACTATGACGGGTATAAGTACCAGGCAGGTGGTAAATCGATGTTTGCTCTTTTTACTCAACAGACCGTACAGCTGTCTGAGGGTCGGCCGTGGAAAGTATCTCAAGTGCTGAAACGAAATATCGCAGGAGCAGTTATTAAGGGGTTAATAGCACTGGCGGCCCTACAAAATTCTACTGAAGTATTCAATACTTGCGGCATGTCGCTATTCTGCCTACAAGAGATTTTACTTTAACACTACAATTAATGACGCAACTTCGGTTAAAATTTCTGGAATTTGAATAATTCAGACCTTGATGATGTAATCAATTGAAATGCCTATGAAAACGGTGATGGTAAAACTGAAAAAGACGCGACGAAAAGCTGACAAGAAATATTTAAATTTCCTTGAATTTTCCCCAGGTACGTAGTGTTCCAGCGCTGAACTAAAAAAAAAATAGTTGCTTTGGTTGGTCTTCTTGCTAATTCCTAAGATTCCAAAGCCTGTAAGAGATTATATCTGAAGAGGTGATAAAATAAATATATCTTGATTTGTTTGAACTGTTATTAACTTTGAGTGGAGACTTAACACTTAGTAGTCAGTACAAGATAACACGATATCGCACGGTGTATATGCAAAAATTTCTGATCCACAATTAAAGAGCAAACTCAGTTAGGAAGGTTTTATATCACTCCAGACCATTTTCAATTAAAAAAAGAATAAGTATAAACATTTGGTTTCAATCACGCACTAAAGCTCCAGCCGGCACTTAAATATCGTCCTTTAATGGGCTCATGACTGAATGTTCACACTGAGGACCTGCTAAAAGCTTAGTCATATGTCAAATGCACTTTCGTGACAACCTAAAGTGGCTTTTTTTTCTCTTGTAGAAGTGGGTATTGCAAACTCACGTTTCGCGATTTGCGCTCACAAGGAACTACATATCGAATATTGCACTCTGTTACCGACGTTTTACGTCTAATGCCTGAATTAGAAAGTTTTGTGGTTATCTTCACAGACGTAAAAAGGCGTTTTCCTTTACTCACCGTTGCCTTCGTGCGTGCGGTCGCAACATCGCTCTCGTGCAAACACGAAAACCGGACGATTTGATTCAATTCTTTATGTTACAAGCCCTTGAAATTAAGTGCTCGAGATGGAAATTTCGCATGGGAAAATTATAATCGATTTATTAAGGTGGGCGTAAATCATGTTAAGTATTTAAGAAATCAGGAAAAGCTATTAAGGACCTTTCGCCAATTTAAGCGAAAAAGAGGAATTGAAATTCAGTTGGAACTTAATGAACTTTCATTGGACCGTAATGTCTTCTATGCACAACAGTGTGAACAAATTTGTTTGCTAAGTGTTTAAAAGTATTTTCCCTTGTGTAGACTAAAAACAAATAAAAGGAAATGGACGATTAACATCTGATTGGGTGTGCCTTTGTCCCCCGCGTGCCTCAAGGCCTCCCAGCATGGCACAATAGCAAAAAGTTGGCGAAAATTGTATCGAATATTGTTAAGAAAGATAAACGTTTCGGAAGCTATAGGCGAGCGTTGTTTGAGGGCCACGGTTGCACGGATAGCAAATTCTTTTTGAAATGTGAAAATGTCTGGTGTTCAAAATAAGCGATGATTACGTAATTACTTTCGCGACGAAAACGCGAAAGACAAATCTGATTTGAGCTTTTCTTTTTATTTACGTGCTAAACTCTATATTCAAGCGACAAAGGTCAGGTAAAGTTCTTTGTACAACTGTTTTAATCTCAAATGAAACAATCAAATGTTTCTTTGAGTTGCTTTCCACATGCACCTACAAACGAAATGGTCGAACTATGCGAATGAAGACGGAAAAAGGCAGTTGAAACCTCGGGCGACTCAGTTGAAACCCCGAGTTGAATCTCGCGTTCAAGTGATGATATCCCTTGAATGTTTATCGCATCATGACAATGTTCTCGTACGAATTCAATCTCGATATTAGATATTATAAATATTCAGTTATACCGACACTTGCCGTCGGTCGGCTTCATTTTCAATGTATTGCCGCGAATTCTGTTGTCGCAGTCGGCTGAGCGATATTGTTCCATATGCTTAACAGAGGAAACCAAAACCTACTCGGGAAGGATTATAGAAACTAAACTAAGTGCAAAACCCACGTATATACTTTGGCTGAAAAACGGAACTATGCCTATATAATACGGAATTTCATGAGCTGAAAGGTTCCATCTCTTCCGGCACAAAAATAAGCAAATTAAGTTTTGCATTTTAAAATGCCTGTCACTTTTGACCTGTTCTACACGATTTATGAAGGTATTTCAGCATTATTTTTTGACAACGAAGCAGAGTTACAATAGCATTCCATAAATAGCCACAAGAAGTTAGACGCCTCCGAAGTACAATGAAAAGTGTTTCGCTTTCAGGTTCTGTGGAGACGCAAGTCTGTGCTTGCCATTGAATGGCGCGGAAATCCAGCAATTCTGTGAATTCTCTGCCCGTTTATGTACGTGCAGTGAATTTATTTGTAGAACAAGGAAATATCACACCAGGTTAGCTGAAGTCTTAGTGTTTTTCCTAGCAGGATTGAACATAATCGAGCCTTAGCACGCCCGCGACAGCCTACTATTAACATATTAATGTTAAGAGCGTGGAGGACCTAAAAGAGATGTCTCATTTGTCTTTCACTAAGTTATAATTACTTACAAGCATTAATCAACATGGCTTGAAAAACCAATATAATTATTTAAGAAGCACCGATCGAAATATCGCTTCCAATCGAATACCCTAGTACTTTGCACAATGTAAGGTATCGTAAACAAAGTATTTCCGAAAACTTTGAAGAGAAAAAACCAACAAAGGTGTTTGCAGATCGCGCGAGGAATTGTGACAATTGTGTACTCTGTACACCGACGTCTTGTTTGCATGTTAATACTAACCTGTAAAAGTTGTCGCTCAATTGACTACCCCGAGCCATTCAAACTCAGTGACCCTTTAAAAATTGTCGTGATATTGTGATTATTCACAAGGCGCTTTTGTGCGACTTTTTTAACTTTGCAGAGCTAAGCACACGGCAGGCGACTGCGATTTGCTCGCCTTGCAAATTGTGCAGTTATAAAACAACAAAAAACATAGTTGATATGTTTTTATTTTTAAATTCCCAAAGGAACATGGTAATTTGGATCTTTTATTGATATAACTGAACTTTCGAAGAACAAACTCGTATTTACTGGCAGGAATGCGTAGGAAGATGCAAACAGAAATTTTTGGAAGATCATTTTTTCTGTTTCTTTGTATTTATGGGTGGTTCTCAGAAAAAGGATAAAAATTGCGAGATTCCCTACCGACATTCCTACTGAATGATAGCATGGCGGAAAATTCAATTACGTCATTCTGATGTCTTTGTTACATGGGTTGCCCGTTGCCCGGAAACGTCCAAGAATAATATAAGGGACACCTATGAGCTGTGAATATTATAAATAACGATATCTCGACACGCGAAGACCAGGTCCGTGGGTGAGTGTGAAAATCGAAGAAAAACTCCAACGGATTCACACCTCGAAGGAATTAGACAAGTTTACAACTCTGTGCTTCAAGACTTGCAGTTTGACTGGAAATATACATGAAGGAGCTTAAAATGGGGTTATTGCAGGTAAAATATCTAGTATTTTTTATGCTAAAAACCAAGAGAATTTTAACGATTGCTAGTATAAATTAAAAGTAGTTTAAAGTTACTTTGCGTTAATTTGAATATCGAATTCGTTTTCCTAAATTCTGTCTAAGTACCGCAAAAACCACGTTGAAAGAAATTGAAAGAATGTGTTGTTATGATGAATTTTCACTTAGCTAAGAACCTACTCTTGCGTCTCGAAAGTTTCAATTGATAACACATTGCTCAGTTAAGTAGGGCGGTTATCTGTGGTATACAATCAATATTCAATTTAAAAAAACACATTCGTGTTAAGAAAGCTTCACAGGAGTTCAACAATATTTCGGTTCGAAGATTGGATACACGTGTTTCTTTCTTGCGCAGGAAATGAGCTTGTAATCGTTGTTTTAGGGAATCAGGGAAATTCCCTTGCAAGTATTGCAGGGAGACAATCATAAATTTAAAAATTGCTGAACTGACCATTTTTGAAGCACGTGGTGATGTAATTATGTAATGAACCGTTGCGAGCAGAAAATAAACTGGAACAATTTAACCGGGTTTTCTACAGAGAAGGGAACATAGTTCACCGCTATTCTTGAGCAGAAAATTCCGGAAGTCAGGTAAATAGTGGCAAAATTTGGCCACTTAACCCCGTCAGCCTCGAGGTGTCTTAAGATGGTCATCAGCTGTTTTTTTTTTTTTTTTTTTTTTTGCAATTTCACTTCACAGAGCTTGTTTTTACACCGTTAGAATAATATCATTAATAGTGTTGGGAAGAGAAATTTTAGGTCGATTCAAAAAAAATTTAAAGAACATTTCTCGTGGGTTGTGACCCGTGAAATAATTTAAGTAGCTGTCTTTGTGTTGTTTTATTGTTTCCAACATTAGATCCAAAAATATAATACAAACACACAAGAAAAGAAATCACGAAATGTCTTTTGCTCGAGGCGAAAAAAATTATCATACTGATGACAAAGTGGTGCATATCTTCACGTAAGTACTCTTTTTGTTTCAGGTTATTTCGGTCGTCCTCTTTCTGTACTTGTTTGGCAACTCCGGAGCTGAGCCCTTCCAGAAACAACTCATGCGGAGAATTCAAAGAGAGAGAAGACATGTGAAGTTGACTACGGCTTCTTCGAAGCGCTGCAATCAAACGCTGCCCGGTTCTGGCTACACATCGACTTCGGATGTTTCTTTATTATACAAAAATGGCTGGTTTTTAGCTGTTTACACTGACGGCAATATCAACGGAACTTCAGATGCTCGGAGCCCGGACAGTAAGTAGACAAACAACCTTTTGTAGTCCCGTTGCAATCATATTTGCTGGATAGTTTTGAATGACAGAAATATCTCTGTTTCGAGTTCTATTACAATATAGAACATTAAACGCCGTATTTGTGACTGAAAGAGGTCTTTTGCGCATGCTAATAGCCTTGCTTGGACAATTAGCCTCCATCCTTAATCGACAATCAATACTGTTAAGAAGACAGCCGATTTTTTAAATTTTTAATTAGTTTCATTTCAGTTCTCCTCCTCTTTAATGAAAATAGCCACCAAAATAGCCGTTTGCTAATTTTAATGTCAACTGTTGTATTTTTTGCAGTTAAGCTTCAACTCCAGTCTGTTGGCACTAGTTTGGTTCGGATATTCAGCAAACAAACTTGTCTTTATGTTGCTATGGCGGCCAACGGAAAGGTGTACACAACGGTGAGTGGTTTAGTTTCATCCGGGAAAAAATAGAAACTTAGAAACCACCAAATCCACCGCAGATTACTTCTTTGTCAGTCACAAGCGGTTACAGTGTTATTTCAGATCACGATTGACGCAAATAATGAGGAGGGGCGACATCTTAATGAACTAATAAATAAATGCTTCCTTTATAAAACAAACGCGCGGATGTTCTTTATGTGGAAAAATGCTGAGCTAAATAGCGGCAAGCCCAAGATTTGAATGATAACCAGGCATAAGTGAAAAACTCGAGTGCTCTAAGTATGTCACTAAATTAACCTCTGCCTTAACGATGCCGCTGTTAATTGGTAACACCTAGTGGCGTATTGTACAAGGGCATTCTTTCTTTCGAAAAATAAATCGACTTTCCAAAGCGAAGAATAGTCATTTTTATCAGCTCGATCAGTTGTTGTTGCTGCTTTGGCGGTTTAAATGACGTTCCCTTTATCTCTGGATACTTTACTACGAACAAAAGTTCGGTGAACGCACTTGATTCCACTAAATATGTTTTTCACTGAGAGTACGTTCGTGTGTATGTGATGGTATTTCATGTCGGGCGAATATTTGCTTTAGGCCGGAGATTTTGATTTCCCACGTTTAATATCCTTGTGTTGTCACCTGGAACACCTTGTTCCCGTTTAATCAATCACCGCAGTGAGGCCAGAACTTTAATAAAAGCGTCAAAAGAAAATTAATTTTATTTATTGCAACCCGCATCTATTATAAGCTCAGAGCTGTGCAAAACATCGACCTATATTAATTCGCTACGCATTCCTTTAAGTTAAATTCGAAGAACCGATCTCGAAGAGAATTAACTAAGGTAGATGGTTGTTTACTAATATTTCTCACTTAACAAAGTGTTGTTTGTTTTTCTTATTTACAGGAAGAACCCACAGACGACACAGTGTTTCAGCAAACCCAGGAATCAAATGGCTTTGAAACTTTCGCTTCCAACAAGCATTATATTCCACTCTCAAGACACACACGAAAATTCCTTTTTCTATCCATGAGAAAAAATGGTCAAATGAAGAATGGCACCCATACGAGACGGAACAACAAGACGTCGCTGCTTTCTGTGATGCAAGCGAGAGAAACCAGTTAAAGACAGTAGATACTGACGACAAATAAATCTTTATTTATTTTGAATTTCATGTTTCGCCGCCGGTTTTGTTCTGAAAGCGGGTCTTCAGTATAGACATAAAGCCGAGATATATTTTGACAATTTAATATCTAGATATTTATTTTTAAAATTGTTAGATTCGTAAATCTATTTAATAGTTTCGCAAAAGCGAATTTAAGAATCGAAGGTAACAATATTTATGAATGTTTTGAAGTGCAAAGAGTTAAAAATAGTATTACAACTGACTGTCAAACAGTTTGTGGTTTCACTGAATAATTTCAAGAGAACAGCTTTAAGTTGTTATCTTCAGTTGAGAATCCTCCAGTCTTAAGAAGACTTTTTGTTGCCTAATATTAGGAAAACGGGCATCTCTTGATGAACACTCACGCGACAAACGGAAATATGCGAATACGTGTATGAAATACGGCTAGAGATACCTCTCATATAATCGAAAATAAATCGAAACTACGGTTTAAGTGTACACATAGTCTGACGGTCGAATGAGTTAATCTTTCAGCCGCCCCGTGATTGCCATAAAATTTGCTGAAACTATCATTCGTCATCTGTTACTACTTCGTCAATTTTCGGTTAAGGAAATCAATATCATAGTATAGACCAGGAAATTCCCAACCCCTCTCCCCTTGTTCATTTCTCCTTCCCTACATAAAAGACCCTCTTATTTGATGGTATTTCAGAATATGGAAGCGATATTTTTTATTCCGAGGGAATAGATAACGAAAGGCCAATGCAGTGCGGATTTTTCCTCACTTATCGGTTTTCAGAAATAAACGTGTATAATTTACGTCTTGCTTATACTGCCGGAATGCTCTTTCTTTTATAATAGCATAGTTTAGAATTAGTCGTATTTCTACACTCTGAATTAGTAATTGAAGGTGAAAGTCTAAATGGAAAATAAGCTATTATTCATTTAACTTTAGTTAGGTTTTTCCAATTGAAATAAAACTCTATACTTGAAAAAAGATGTGGTTACGAATTCAATTCTTATACATTGACAAACGAACTAGGGACAGTACAGCAAACAAAACACGGTGTCGTTCTGCTAAGTCATCGAAGTGGAATTTAAGGCATATCAGCAAATGCCCCGACGTTGATTAACAGTCTAAGATAATCGATAATCGCTAGTCGATAATCAATAATCTATAATTGATAACCATAATAACCATAACTATAACCGGTAGCCACTATCTGTAATTGCTAACTGTTAATTATCGAATTTCAGAAAACGTTGAAAAGCTATTTTTAAGTGGCGAAATGTTGGTGGGTGTTTACCTCCTCCCCCTCCCCCTCCGGCCATTATATGCTTCGTTTTCCATCGTCCGATCGGCCCAGTGTGTTGAAAATCTATAAAACACGTGTTTCTGATTCCTTGGCTGACCCCTGGGGGTGGACTCCCATATAAAAAAGACAGGGGTGCTAGTCGGGAATTTTGAAAAGAATCCCTAAGAGGTACTAAGATCCTGTTTTGTGGGCGTGGCTTGAAATTTTTTTCTCTCCTAAGAGGTACCAATTCTTACATAACACATTGTCTGCTGTCATATGTTTTCGGCTCAATACCCTAAATGGTACGCAAAGGCTCCCGCTGTGGACCTCTAGAGGCTGAACACTCGAAGAGCTACCAAGACCGCGTGTTTAATCCCTAAAAGGTATGACGAGCACCCCCGTCATTTTAATATGGGGGTCCCCCCCCCCCCTCCGGAGGCTGACCCCGTATTTTTCGGGTTGTCTTTATTCATGTAAATCTTTAAGTGAATCTGACATCTAAATTAGCCATCATAACGATTCCTTCTGACAGCTTGCATAATGGGAATAACAATTCAATACCGCATATAAGAACCTAGGATTACCTTGTAGGTGATATAGCGGGAGTTATGTCGTAAACAGTCTAATGAACGTGAGAACTAAACTAAGCAAGCAAGTAAGTAAGCCAGTCTCATCACATTGAGTGTTTTCACACACGATATACTCGAAATTTTACCTCGATCCGTATCAGTAAAACGTAATCGAATTCGAATCTAGCTCACGCAAGAAAGTTTTTAAGTCGCTTGCATGTATCTTTAAATTTTTTTCATGCCTTAGTCACCAGGCATGCGCTAGAGCCATTAAAAACTTTCAAAACTATAAAAGGGCATAATATCTAAAAAGTATTTGAAAAATTGCAACCTTTGAGACAGTGTTTGAAAAGAAAACTAATTCTTCGCTACTCTTGAAAATGTTGTTAACTCTATGAGGTAAGCCACTTAATGTGCTTACTACGATATTCTCAGAGTTTTTTTTACTGAAGTTTTCGAAAATAACAAGGGAACGCGTTTAAAACTCGTTAGTTATAATTGAAGAACTTGGGTGGCTGAAGTGAATAAGTCTTCTAGTCCAACATTAACTTTTGGATTTAATGGAGTTAAAAATTAGTATGAGAGGTGGAATTTAAAAGGTTTCCTGATGGCTGTCACTCACGTGGCACAGTGCAACGAATTAACCAAATAGAACTCCTATAAAAAAAGAAAAGCATGCAAGCGCGTTGCAATTAAGCGCGGGAAAATGTAGCTTGCGCAAAGACTGGCTTTAGTTCGCGTCTGATCTGCATAAATAGTAAAATGATTGGTCATAAAGCTGCATGTTCAAAACCGAGTAAACACAGAAACTCTGAGTGTGATTGATATTAATTCTCCACGTCAAAATGTTGTGACCACCGGTGGGGTGGTCACGTTGACCGGTCTCAGAACAAAGGCTTTTCAGTATTGTTAATCACACGTCACCAATTAAAACGTTAGAAAATTGTTCAAAGTACACATGAGGCTGTTAAGTGATATTCATTTGCCTTCGAGGAGGCCTTAAGTGTCATCCCGCCATAGTATAATGTTTTCAATTTTGGCATCGGTACATTGTCACTGGCAGATGACAAGAATACTTGAATGATACACCTTCACCATCATATTTTTCAAATTAACATTTAAGGAAAAACATAGCACGGAATAATGGGGAAAAGTCGTTTGAGAACGGAATTTCATGGAAGGTGCAAAAGTAAACTACATTTGTGGTTTCTGTCAATAGATCATTTTTTTTTTTTTTTACCATTTTTAAGCACAGATAAATAAGAGTTACTGGAGTGGAGTGGTGGATTCCATGAATTAGTTGGTAATTTACAAAATATATGCAGCCGACATACAATATAACTAGAAACATCCTGACTTTCATTGCAGTAAACACCCACCTACCGGCAGCAATTTGCCAAATATAAGAACCTGTTTAGCCAAGCAAGAACAAGCAGGTTCTTATGTGTTGGTTACAGTTTAATTATGATAAACATTTTCACCAAGGAGTGCACGTGTGACTTTGAGACTGCAAATTTACATTACAAGAAAATACATCGAACACAGACGATTTATTGTATATTCAGGGACCAAACCCAAGTTTATCTATTTTTCTGGTAATCAACAACTATATCTCCTTCATAGAAATTAAGAATCTACTTACTGTACTTAGCCCAAATAACTACCCGAAAATACAAGAACCAGACTTCAAAAAATGTACTTCTTACTTGCGGGTTAACCACAAGTGCAGCAAAGCGCTGATATATTTACCTATTTTTCAGATTTTTCTTGGCATTTGCCTTTATGAACCCACCAATGTTTCACAATGGAAAGTTTCCACTTTCTAATACAACCTACCCGTTAGTCCACAATACAAATTGATCTTATAACTGTAATCTTATCTCTGCTAGCAGTGAGATTCTGTGCGGCGTAACCTTGCCATCGATCAGTTTTCCCTTGAGCGAGACATTGGCTGAACAATACATTTTACGATCAAGAATGGAGGAGTAACCGGGATTGCAAATGATCTTGTGTAAGAGCGTTCTCTGGTTAAGAATTTTTAAAAAGTCGTAGGACTTTTGGCTTGTAGTCTAAAGCCTTTGAAAACTAAAATTTGGAGACTGGGAGACTGGAAGTCAAACGTTCAAAGAAGGTTAAAAAATTCCGCTCAAGGAGCTCAGAAAACGGCATTTTGAGTTATTTTGGCCATGTGTAAAATAACCTGCAATTGAAGGTAAACTGAAAATAGTAGTTTACTAAGATAGAAAAACTACAAAGAGGTAATAATAAACCATTAAGGAACAAGGAAGGTTAAAGATGAAGAGGATTGACACGGATTACAAAAGACGAAATTGATCATGAAAAAAGTAGGCTTAACTTTCAAGATGTGCAAACCCTGACGTAGCTCCTTTAACCAGAGAACGCCTTTACACGAGATGAATACATCAATGTCTCACTCGTGCCTCTCTTTTCTTGTCTCTTCCTCAACATACTGAGTTCAAAGAAGCGGCGTGGAGAAGGAAAACGAACCCGGGAGAAGTATGAAAATGGAAGGGGATTGAGGCGAGTTGAATTGCCTCCGGCCGGAGGTGAGCTGTGTTTTCTCTTACATTACCGTGATCAAGGCAAGTGGCGCAAAGGAAGGCCAAAGACCAACTGGAGGAGAATTGAGACAGCAAACCTTAAACAGCTGGGCTTGTGCTTGCTGGAGGCTGAAAAGATTGCCAGGGATCGCGAAAAGTGGAGAGGCCGGGACGAAGAGGATGAGGGAGTGAGTGATGTGATTAGTACACATTAATACATTATTGTCATCAAGCTCAAGGAAATAATTTATTTCTAAAGATAAATCAAGATGGCTACAACAGTTTTTAAAATCATATACCCTAGTTTGGACAGTAGATAATAAATAATCTTCCCTAATATATATATATTTTTTCCATTTAACCATTTTCAGTTATTTTGTTTATTTGTTTTCAAACACAAGTCTGCGTTTTTAAACCGCAATCCTTTCCACAACTATTACTTTCATTCATGTATAACATTGCTACATGCAATAACAATAAATATTAGTTTTCTCTGATAAATAATGCCTTCAATGTCTGGTTAAATTCATGGTAACCAGTATGGAGAACTAGTTGATTGTTAAATGATCAAAAACTGAGATCCCTTGTGAAGCCGACATGTTTTGTTTCCTTTCCTCGGCAGTCCGTCCTTCTTGAGCGCTATATACATGTCGTGGGGCGTGTCCCTGTAGTATTTATGCGAGGAAAATGTATGGAAGCCATTGACCCCGGTCACGTGCTTGAAAATTGTGCTGTCTGTCTTGTTTTTCTGCAAGAAAAAAAAAGCACAGACAAATTTAGATCCTTAATTCAGGGAAGGTGAGTAAAATTAATACTGTACAGTTCTTATAATAAGCCTTATTTTATAAGCTATAATAAGCTTATATTTTCAAAAGGCTTTTCGGTAGGTTTATTTTTTCGGGCGGGCTTGTTATCCGAAGAAATTTTAAGCTGGAAAAATTGTCGGCTGATATTTAGAAGAAACTTGACGTGTGAAAAATTTAGGTGCATATTAGAATCCTGCATGTTAAAACTGTTGAAACATAACGATGTGAAACACAAAAGAAGTCAGTCTACAATATGTCTAAAATATTATAATGAGTCGAGACGCAGGACAAACAGAAAGGGCGTTATAATCGGAAAAAAAGATTTGTTATTCTGATATATAGAGCTAAAATTAATGTTCATGGTCTGATATTCAGGAGGCCTTGCAATTTGAAGTATTGCTATCTAAAATTTATGGGGCTTTGAGTAAGCTTCTTTTCGGGGGAGCATCAGAATTTCACGCATCATATTTGTAAGTGTTCAAACGAATTGACAGCAGAAAAATCCCATTTTCACTGACAGCTAGAAACCCGAAGGACTGAGTCTCGTGGAACTCCTTCACATGCAAACGTCACGTGATTATCACATGTAACCAATTCCTTAAAACATGTCATCAAAGTCTTTCTCGATTCACATACTAGCTTCACTGCCTCATTAGAATTAAACTTAATCTGCGAAATTATCCTTGTTACAATTTCTTTTTGTTATTTTTTTTTCGACAAATGCGCGACAAATATTCACGTTGATCATTGGTTCTGCATGATATCAATATAACCCAGGTTTCTAATTCGACAACTGGGTGACAAACACAAGTATAGATAATGACTGTGAATAAAAATAAATTGCAAGGCTATAGAACGTAAACAACAGGTAGATATTTCATAACTGGTTGGTATCACTGTCATATTGTAACTGTTTGGATATAAATAAATTCCACATAAGAGAAGTCTCATTGTTTTTGTAGATTAATAGAGCGCTCTTTTAAACCATCTAATCTTGAAAGTTGGATAAGTAACTTAAATGGGCATTATAATCTGGAGTAACTCTCTAAATTTGTACCACGGTTTATTTAAATCATTTTATCAGACGTCGAGGGGTCTCGTTATGATTCAGGGCCACTCCTGGTGACCCTAGATGTAAATTTCGTAATACATATACCTATAAATTCTGAAAATACAGACTTGGCGCCAGTCCTGAGCAAACCTTGCATAAAATCTGACACCCAGTTGCAAGTTAATAATTTAATAAGCACTGACTTCTCAAACGTGATTCCTCCAAAAATCTCTTTGAGTGCTTTTTTAGTTTTATTATTTATCTTTCCAGGTATGCAACGTGTTCAACTATTGATTACGTAATATACATTTTATGAGCCATGTTTGATTGTTTTTCAAGCTCTAAAAAGCAGTTGTTGTGGGTTATTAATAAAGACGTCATATTAACGTCGGCGTCTTTGAACTGCTCTTGTGATAGTTTTTGGTCCTAGATGTTTACAGTAACAATTTTAATTTTGGCAAAAGTCCTTGACGTAGTGTTAGGCCTCATGCTTATATTGCCAAATTCACGTGTTTGAAAATATATCAGACTTCGTCTATCATTGCGGTAATCTTTGGACAAATATATTGCTTCCTATTTTTGGCACCAGAAACAAAAAATATATATATGGCTCACTCAGTGAAAACAAGAGTCAATATCACTGCTTAAGACGACCGGTAATACCAATATTTGTCAGCATGGTAGAAGTACGATAAAGTACATGTGATTGATCCACGTACTCGATAAGAAAAATCGATGAAAGTGGAAAATTCTAAAAATAAGGCATTAAAACCTACTTTTTAATTCTTATTTCTCGTACTACTAGATGTAAAACTGGCAGCTAAAGGGTGGAGACTTTGACTGTTATATATATCGTGATTGATTCAGGTTTGGTAATTCCGTTATATGCATTGAGCAAGTCAAGATTTCGTGACCGAGTTTTAACTATGAATTGCAGAATATAAGATTTCTTAAAAGGAAGAGCTGGTTCGCGCGAAATGATTTGAATATTATCGCATGTTTGGAGAAATTTGCATTTCAGCTTAAACTGTCTAAACTCTTCGAAAACGTGTGTCGGAACATGTTTTGAAGCTCGACCTGGTAATTACGGTCGATATCCAAGGAGGCCAGTGGCATTAGATCAATCGACTTCTTTGTGGTTGGATTGACTTAAAATATCTCTAAGGAAAAATAACAATTTTTATTAATCGAATAAGAAAGGCTGGTGGCATACCACATAACATGGTTTATTTGACCTTGGACTCAACACTAAACGTTTGACTTCCCTCCTGGTATTACGTGTTACTTCCCAAGCAGAATTTCATGGAATGGAATGTTATGAAAGGAGGTCATGAAAACCGCTTATATCAAATCTTTACATTACCATAAAAAGTCCATTCTTATACATGTACATACGACCTCACTTTTGAGATTAAATATTCCACTTTATGCAATGTGTCTTTTTAGAATATGGTGTGAATTTTCTTTTCTAACCGAACACCAAGATCTAAAACAAGTCGAATAATAAAAACAAATAAAAATAAATGAGAATGATTCTTTAGCAGATCCAAAATAATAATTGGCTCTTCTATGCTAATATAAAAGGCCAACAGCTAAAAATACAACGTGTTTACAATAAAAGACAATAGAAATAAAATTTAAAATTATACGAGCTAAAAGATTTTAGAAGAATTAAGAACCAAAAATAAAGTTCTTTGCATTGAACTGACTGGCCTGCGATTATTCAGCTGAATAAACAAATTTGGCTACTGAAAGGTTTCAAAGCTTTCTTGGAACGAAAAAATATTTTCTACCGTTTTGAATCGAAATGGTTGTTTTGGTGTTCTTCTGAAGAACACAATCACATAAATTTACATCAGAGCAGTTGAACAACAAGGTAAGGCCAAAAGCATATTCGACTTTGTCTTAGGGCGTCATCTTGTTCTGATGGTGTTCGCACTACCCACGAGCATTCTACGATTTTAAGTTACTAAAAAGATTCTAATGAAAGAAAAGGTTCTGTTCATCTACTGATCCGCACAGTACAACCGAGAATTTCAACCACCAAAACACATAACTTCGATCGATTGAGTGCAACTGTCGGTGCCAAATTTCTAACCTGAGAACGCCATGCCAAGACAGCAGTCATTGCCTTCTCTTATACATTACCGCATTAGTTTTGCATCTTTTCTAATTGTATGGTGTTAGTGATGCATGTTCTCAGTTTTGCTGTACCATAACAGGTTAGATTTATCAGAATTATTCTGTTACAATGCTTCCAAACAAGTCTTATTTGCAGATGCGGAGGCGTCCGAAGACTTCAGTCAAGCTTTTGATTGTTCCGGTTCTCAAACAACTGCTCTGCATACAAGAGAAAATTGAACAGATATATCCATCTATGGCTTGGTGTTGATGACATTATTATATATCGTCTATCGATTTGTCCACATTAGATCACTCCGTGAATGATATAGCTTCCACTGAATCAGTGAATTTAGACATGATGGAAAACACAAGTTTAGTCGAAGGTACAGATTTAGTGAGAGCGCGCAAACGGGTGAATTTAGATCGTTCATAGCCATTTAGTTAACTTCTATTTGCGGATTTATCTTGCAAACAGTGCGTGCCCATACCTTTTATAAAGTTCTTCTGGAAAAGAACTAAGAGTACTTCGAGAAATCTTTACTGGGAGAAGGCCTAGCAGAAGGCCCCTACTACCTTGAGCGAATCGCAGCACTCTGCTCACTGTTATACTCAGACGATTTAATCAAAATTTACTAAACACAGTATAAATCGATTGTCATGATTTAAGTGAAGTACTACTGGGGATTTAAGCAACGAGCAACCGACGGAGATATTAAGCTTACCGTGGAAAACAGCCGCCCATTGCTGTCCATTGCGAGATACCGCTTCACTTCGGGACCATAAATGTGAACTAATCCTTTCCCGATCGGCTGTAACTGCAGGTTGACTGCAAGCAAAGCAACAATATGAACAACAAAATTAAAATACCACAGTAAAGAATAGATTTGCTGAAAGACAGCGGGGTATTTTTAGACAATGCTGTAAGGCCGGAACTGCCAAAGATTTGAGTTGCACGCATTCACTTTATTCTCAGCCAGGAATTCCACAACAGTTGTGTAAAACCAATCAGGGTATTTTTTATTTGTCAAAGCTGTCAGCTTCAATAAGAAGCACCGACCTTCTCAAAGCTCGGTCGTTAAGCCTATAAACACAATAGTAGCATTTACTTCATCATTTTCGAATTTTTCCACATAGTCATCCATTTTGTATTGAATAACTGTAAGCTTCCATAACGTTCGATAGGCAGTCGACTGTTTTTCATTCTTCAGTATATTAGGAACTTCATCACGACTTCCACGGCAATTTTAGTTGACCAGTCCTTGTTAATCCGTGCAATTAACCTGATTTCAGCTAGTTTCGTGTAGACACTTAATATATTCGATTTTAACTGGCAAGTTGGCCTCCGTGAAGAGCTCAATGGCGCAGCCATGCCAGTTTGACAGTTTGTCGTGACTGTTGTGATAACCACGAGAAGAAATATTTGCAAAAGAATGAATAGAGAGCGATCTACACGTATTCCAGCTTTAACTAGCCAGATCTCCACTGGATCTCGTTGCCACTGCGTTGCATTTCAATTTCGTCCTAAGCATTCTTGTAGAAGCAGGGAGTTGTATGCCCATAACTTCGACTCCGTTAAACCTCTATTCTGATCCTTTGTCCGATGAAGACAAAAAATTTATCGAGGTCCACACTAATCAAGTGCGATGACAGGTAAATGAATGGTGAATGGATTTGCCTTTCCTTCGATATCTTAAAGCTTCTAAAATGTGAACCTCTGGAAAACTTTAGTAGACAACTGACGCTGATGGAATATAAGCTTTCTAGAATTTTTGAATGTGCTATGTTTATACTGACCGCAGGTCATAAACTGAATTAGCTTTTAGTATTAGATATCTTCTTCGTTGTATTAAAATCTCCATATATATATGCAGTGGAATCCCGGTTTCTCGAAACCTCATTTTTTCGAATCTCCCGATAACTCGAACCAAAAGTAGTTTCCCTCTCCCCAGTCGAACACCTGTAATTTTACCCCCGATTTCTCGAACTCTCCGATTTTTCGAACCAATTTCCGTTTCCCTTGGAGGTTTGAAAAATCGGGACTCACTGTATATCTATATTCCTTGTCGCGCCAGCTTAATTGACATTACCTTCCGCTAATGCATGACGCGTCAGCAAAAACTTTAATCAGTGGCTTTTAAATAATCTAAAATCTTTTTGTTTCAATTCTATGTAGTATACAACAAAATCAACACTGATTCTGTGACCGTCGAACTCACCACCGAAAAAAAAAAATTACTGTGGGAAAGAAGTCTTAAAGTTATCATTTTCTTTGACTGAAATAAGGGAAACTTTAATCGAAGAATTTCCGGCCAATTCATTAGGAATAGAGGCTGTACACAGCAGTGATATCGTTTCTGTCTAAAGCTACGCGCATGCTCACAATGGTGTATAATTTTCCATCTTGACTACCAGTAACTCAAAAAAATGTCTTTTCGCGGTCGCGATGAGCCTTTTTAGTTCTATTCCAGTAATAGAGGAGTCAGAAAGCGGTTTCTTTTATTTCGAATACATTTCCTTTCACTCAGTGGATTAATTTTCGCCCATTGGCCCGTGTGATAATAATTTAGGAAATTCCAGGTAACATTAAAAATAAGCGGAAGAATGGGTACTATATATAAACATAATTTGACGAGGATTATTATGGGGGATTAACTCTATTCAGCTCTTCACCTTCTCTTGCAGTTCTCTGTGGTAATCTACAGTATTTCTAAATCGTCGATTCAAGAATCATTTAGTTTGGGAAAACTCTGTATACCCCTTAATTTTTATGCTGTTTTTGGCAGCTGGCTTCTCTATGTGATGATGAGATTTTTCACCTTAGTAAAATCCATCTAAGAAGGTTTTTATGAACAAGAAAATCTGATTTCTAACCTAACGTGAGTTATCCATTCCAGTCAGTGGCGTTACATATGTGCAGATGGTATCACACATGTCTGAATATTGAACAAACAATTCAACGCAACCTATTTCCCATATTGCAGGAAGAAGTAAACATAGGATTTGTCTCAGGGACAATTTTTAACACAATTTTCCGCGTCCTTTCTATCCTGTTTCAGTTCCTGCGGAACGTTAAGGAACTATGTGCTTGTGATAACCACCTGACCACTTTTGCCAAAGATTTCCTGAAGGTAAATTCCCTCATGTTTAACCGAATTTAAAAAGGCTTATCTTAAACAGGGAACCTTTAGAGGAACATATAGGACTCAATACATTTAAATAACCAGTTTTCATATTCACTAGGTTTTTTTTTTTTTTTAATTTTTCATTCACTTTGACAAGAAATCGATCTCAAAACTCTTGGGGCGTCTGGTAAGTATTGTTTCTCCTGCTGGAATGATATCGACTGGCGCGATAATGTTAATCTTATGTATTCCGTTATTACTTCCCGTAAAGCTGATTGTCAATGAGGACGTGGCAAGGAAAGCGGAATGAATCAGTCCTAAAGCAGATATTCTATCATTAAGACCGTCTGCTTGCCTTGTTAACTGAAAAGAGTGCCAGTTTGAATAACACGTTTATAATTTTCTAACAATGATCATTCTCTTTCCACTCAAGGTCCCGGCTTTCGTTGTCTCGTCTCATAAAACAATTTGAAGTAATCACTTTTATCTTTAAAACATGAACATCAAATGGTAAAAATATTAAATACTACCCTTACGAACCTAGATATATCGCGGTTTTCTATGGACAAAAGATATTGAATACTCGTCTGATAAAGTTTACGTCCAATGCCTTATTTTCACCTATTATCTTTTAGAAGTTAAAATTATGCAACGTTATATCTTGGTTCTATTTAACTGAGTTGAGTTTCAGTCTAGTTACCTTGACATTTTTCGGTTTTCATTATCATGCAGAAATGATGAGGAACTAAGTTTGTTTAACTCGGGTAAAAAGCGTCTAGAATATCGCATAAAAGTTAGAAGACTCACTAGCTAGATTGCGAAAGGGTTTTACACAGTCTTCAAATCAAATCGTGGTTAACGATGCATGCATTTCACACGTCCATGCAAAATAAAATATTAATTCATTTTGCTTTACCTTCAACGTTGCCTTGTTCACGAGTTCCTGTGACGTTGCCATCATCTTGCAAGCGAAGGAACCAATGATTCTTACCAAACAGCTTCACACTTGTAACCGTGTTTTCAGCCTCATCCGTTGCACCAGTGTCCTTCAGCGAGAAGATGTTCAGGTTGATCTTGGCTGCGGACCATTGAACAGTCCTCGACTGAAGTAACGCTGATTTTGTTAACACCCAGTCTCTCGTCTTGGCGCAGTGCGCCGTGATTTCAACATCAGACCGCCTATTCATCTGCGTCTTGAAATACTTGGTTTCCATTTCAAAAACTCTCGACACAGCTCTACGCCAGCTTTATCTGCTAAGAGAGAAAATTTCATCACTTAAGCGAGTAGATTTGCTTTTAACCGGAAAGGTACGTGACGCAAAGTGTTGCGACACTTTGCGATGACGTTGATGAAGACATGGCTGAGTAACAGGCACTCAGAAATACAATAAAACTGTCGACACTTTCAACTACCTTTTTCATTAATCTGCATTTAAAAGCTTGCATATATGAGCAGGTCAAAATGATAATTTCTTTTCAAGGTCACAAGTTGCATTGCTCCTGATCTACATTAGAAAATCCAAGTAATAGCTAAAATCTTCGAAAACCTTGTCTCAATCGTCGAATATCAAATTATGACTGTATCAGCTGCATATCCTTGAGCGCTAGTCCAAACACACTATCAGTAGCTGAATGTGTAATGAAAATCTTAGTCTAGCCCACAATAACGACGTTTTTTAATGAATACAAACATTCAGCCAGCGACTTGTAGAAATAATTCGTGACTCTGGCCATGTTTCACTTAAATTTTGTTTATTAAAATCGAACAAATAAAATGTAAGAGTCGCTGACAATCTTCTGGCGTTGTCATCGCTCAGTAATTGCAATATACATCCGATGACAGAGAAATGCATAGATAACTACAAAACACATTTCACTATAATGACTTGTATATTGCACGCGCTCAAGCAATCACAGAAAACGATTTGCTTTCGCCAAACTCTTTTCACTGCATGGCCTTTCCTGTTAGCGCTACGTGACTGAATACCTTGAAGAAAATAATTAATTGTAACAAACGAGTGGGCTGCAAGCCAGGCTGACACATAAATGTTATCGCCGGTATTTAACACTTCGGAGTTCTTCGATGACTGTTCTGACGACACTACTCGAGAGCTCAAGAGCAAGAAAGCATTAGTTTCTTGTACTTCTAAATTGTTGATCAATTTTAAGAAATTGTATTTTAATGTTGAATGGAAGCTACAAGAGGTTGAGCAGAGTTATGCTCAAAGAAAAAGGTCATGTTTTAAATAAAAATTATAACTTTTACAATGCAAATTGCAACGGCAACTGATCCTTTGGCCAAAATAATGGCACACAACAATTAACGCCTTGTCGAGAAATTATTTCGTTTCTGAGGTTCGATATGGCGACTCAGTCCAATGAAAAGTCTAAAAGAAAGTTAATTTCGGTGAATAATTATTTGAATTTCGTTCGCCAATGTTATTTGCGGTCAATGACAGACAAACACAAACTTTTTTAGTCCCCTAACTTTCTTAAATCAGCCCGGTGCTTGATATCGGAGACAAACTCGATTAAAAAAAAACAAAATACAAAGTATCTTAAGACTGAAATTATACTCTCAAGGAAATGTTTTTCTCACGGTTCTCCTGACGTCACACTGAACTTAAGAACCTCATCGGCAGTAAAATCTAAACTTTTTTTATGTCTGTAGTTACACACGTAATTTTAAAACTTATTCTTGAAATTCTGTCATTAATATTGACGTGTTAAAGAGCTTTCGGATTTCACCAAGTGACAAGAAACTTGCTAGTTATTTTTTCAGTTTTCATAGAAAAATCTAATTTTTACATGTTGCCATGACAATATTAGTTGTTAAATTCCAGGTAATATTTCGACTTCAACATTTCAGAAGCGGGGCTACATTGAGGAATTTGACTGTGTTCTACCGAATTTTGAATAACATCCATATTATTCAACTCAAATACATTTTCCAATGGATTTAGATCTCTTAGCATTTATTTTTTAAGTCTGTTGATACCTAAACCAGCAAGTTCCATCATTTTCAACCACCGCACTCAGTCATTTAGACACCACTTCTATCATTGTCTGAAAATTTCAATTAAGAGATACGGAAAAAGCCTGTTATATGCCCAGGGCTAAAATTAAGTTTGTTCAAAAGGCACTTTTGATGGGTTTACATTTTTGGTGCACATGTTCTCGGAAGAAAGTTTGTTTTTTTTTCCAAAATGTTTGGGCTTATGCTTCGAAGAAATGTTATGTCTGAAAATTCTGGGCCAATACTACGAGGTAAAATTCTTTAAACGCGATGACATATAAAACATAAAACAAGTTCCACAGTCGTAAATGAGCATGGCAAGTCTTTGAATGATAAAAAACGACGTATCCAAAAAAGAGGCTTATAACGAAATAATTCGTATGGATACATATTCAGAATAGCTCGTCATCATGAAAGGACTGTTGCGTCTATTTTTTTTTTTTTTTTNAAAGCTCCGCGGGTCCACAGTGGAGCCAGATTATGCTATTCTGTTCACTCTGTGTGCTATCAAAAGTTTTTATTGAACGGTACGTCTTCCATTAAAGGGGAATTTAATCTCAGCGTCCAATATAACAGCTGTTAGATTTTTTATGAATTAGAATAGATAAGAACAACTCAAATAGATAAGATCAAATACTTCAATTTCTCGCCGACCAATTGTGACATGACATCAATTGATGGCTAAAAATGTTTTTTAGATGATTCAAAAGCCGAATGAAATTCTAAGCTTAATTAATTTTTTCACTACTTTCATCAAAAGGAGTCTTAAAAGCGAAATGGCACCTAGCTCGAATTGACGTTCCTATGCAATTCCATCCTTAATCGGCTCTCAAGAATTGTGCAAAAGATTCATGTAAATATAGTTTGCTGAGTAAATGCCTACAAAAACATATTATCATAAAATCTTCAAAAATCGAGTGTTGCATTTTGCTTTGCCCATTTGTGTTCATTTAGTATTTCGCAAAAATGAAATACATTTTTTCTCAAATACGATCAAGTTTTATGCACCGTTTGTGTTTCAATGCGTTAAGCTGTTCCTTGGCTAGCTAATGTACTCATAGAATCAAACTGCACCCTTTGCTTCTAGGCGTAAACAATCTTATTCACGTTTTAAAAATTCTTTCTTACTTTTGAACAGTAAACAAACCACAGAGCTGATGAAAAATTGGCTACGATACCAACTGAATGTAGTTAAAAGAGTAAGTAAGTGAGTACACTTATATGTACCAACAGCGTTGCATTTCTTATGCAGGAAACTAAAACAAATACATATTTATTTGAAAAAGTTCAGTGCAGATTTTCTCACCTTTGATTTAGGACTAATATCGGCTCCTGCTGTCTACAGGCGAACCGCCTGATTCCAGGCCGCCAGACAAACTAGAGAAGAGCCACTTGGAGTGAAATGCTTGTGGGAGTACTTTTCTGTGCCGGCCTGAAAATAACAACAGGATCAGTTGTTGTGTTACGGCCAAGCTGCCACCCTCGGAGCTGAAGAAATCAACAGATGACGGATTTAAAACATGTCAATTGTTTGGAGCTATTTTTCAAAGTGCCTTGATGTGTTTTGACTCAAAGCTTTTCTTAATTGAAGCGGAACACCCAAACAAAGCCTGCAGCCATTGGCTGGTCGTAATAACTTAAGTCCGCTCGTGAATTTTTCCTGACATTTGCCCCAAAACAAATTAATTTCTGATCGCTTTTACTGAAATTGGTGGGGTAATGCCGCATTGTTTATGAAGTTTTTTGATTGCTTTTGCCAAAAGACCATATAATGAGAAAATTCCTTCATTGCTTCGATTCACGTTAAAGTTGAGTTTGTAATGCTCCACACGAAATCTTTAGAGCAACCAAAAAGCTGTGTAGACAGAAATTAAGTTTATGTTGTTTAATAGCATTTGTTTTCTTTATTTCGTTTATTTTTATTTTCATTTCTTTTTTTACCGCGTTGCACATGAAATGCACTGACTTTGCATCCGATCCAATTAATTTAGCTTCTATAAACTTTGAAGACTAATGCAAAATAGCAAAAATAGCACTCAGCGTGTTTTAGAGTAATTGAAATTTAATCAACAATCCCGGCTGGAGACCTAAATCACACTTTCTCAAATAATTTCATTTGTTAAAGCGCATTTTTTCCTGTTCGTTGTTCTCATTTATAAACTGGTCAGTTGTTCAGTTCGATGTTTGCTAACCACGTGGGGCTTCGCATAACAATATACAGTCACGGAGCTCCAACGGACAGTCAATGTAAACATTTATTATAGTTTAAACGAAACGAGCGATAAAGCGGAAATGAAAACTAAGACAAGGGAGAGGAAAAAATTATCTGTAGAGAATGTTTCTCTGTTGATACTAAAAGAGCTCGATGTGCTCAGATGGACAAAAGTCCGAAATATTTCTAACATCTAAACTATCCAAAAATAGCTAACTGAAATTTATAAGGAGCCAGTCCTAAGGCCCGTTGTATCGTGTTGGTTTCAAACCAATAAGGAACTTGTATAGACCGATGCCAACGGCAACAGCTGTTAAAGTCGCAACGAATTTTCGTCTTTATTTGATTGGTTAACAAGATGGCGCTCAAGGCTCTGATTGGTCCAGGGCAAAGTTGAACGCTCGAGAGTCTTGAGCCAGAGCGATCACCAGTTACTTTTTAAGGCAAATTGTTCTATCCAGAAAACAACACCAGATTTAGTCACGTGTGTTATTAGAAAACGTAACTGATAGCTGAGTAGAGTAATCGTTTCATGATCACTGGGCAAATGATCAGAAATTCAACTCGAGTTGGACCATAGTACACGTATAATCTAACCCAGGGGCATTAGCATGTTTTCCAAAAAGATGGCAAATTCCCTTGGATGGGGGACAAATAAGTGACACTAATTCCCCCAGGGTGAGAGCAAACTGGAAGGACCAAAACCACAAAGGTGCCAAATATTCTGGAGTTGTCCAAGGGGGAGGCAAATTTCCGTCCCCGGGGCAATAATAAAATTTCAAATGCCCCATCCCCGAGATTAAGACGTCAACAAATGCCCAGCTGTTGCCCGGAGGAGGTGGGCACAACTTCAATTGACTGATGAATTAGCCCTATATACTCCCAAAATTAACTGAATCGCTAATACCGAGGACAATACTACTGAAGTCATTTCTTTTAAATAGTAGCTTTTATTCTTGGCACTCAAGCATTACTTTACAAAATGTACACACGTTAGCATTTGCATTTAGTTTACATCTGTACACACACTGCCGACGCTGACATTCCAGTATTTCAAATAATACTGGCACACATCAATGGCATTAATACATCCTTAATAATAAGGCACCAAAATTAATACTTTAGATGTAAAGTAAAACAATCACCATTTTACAAATGGCGCTATTAACTAAGCCTTCAAAATGTTTTAGCTCTTTACAGAAAAACTTATTAATTTACATATTTTGAAGATGAAAAGACTATATGAATTTTGCAAGCATTTTTATGCATAAGTATTCCCTTTTAAATTCTAAATTTGTTTGGCTATGCGTTATTACAAAAAAGGTCTAAAATAGAACTAATTTTGCTTCCCATTTGATGGGAATAAAACAATGAACAAATAGTCTTGATAGTGCGATTAAGAAAATCAAATTATATTACGTTGCTAGGCAACATGAGAGTATTCACGGGTGCTCCCTAGCAGCTGTCAGCTGCGAGGATCAAGAATTTGACTTTATTTTGCGCGCTTGTGGTATATTTTCCGTTTCGTGCTTTGCCATTTCGTCCAAGCGATATAAACGTGTCATATAGAGTCGTTCTGTAGAACTTCGCCGAGGCAAATGTGTGGAATGAAGTGCTTTGCATTGTCTCTCTGAAAACGGTTTCGTCATTAGTTGAATTCTGTGAAAAATGAAAAAGATAACGATGAAGAAAAACTACGTATATTTATCTCCATTTAAACTCTCCAGCTACAAGAAACAGGCTTAAACTGTAAGAAAGAAACATTTCAAATAAATATAACAGGCTTAAAATTCCCAACTTGCGGAAGGTAGGCCAGTTGACTATTTACAAGCATGATCGAGGAGTTGAACTAAGGTCTACCAACAAACAACTCCAGCTTAGTGGTCAGAACGGGACTTGAACGCGCGACCTCCGGATTTCAAGTTCGGCGCCCTAACCACTCGACCAAGCTGCCTCCAATTTAAATTGTTGAAATACTGTACAAGTGCTCACGTCAATTGTTACTTATGACTGACATAATGTTTTTTTTTTTCTTCACTGTCTGCAAAATTTGAACTTACTGTGGAATATAAATTGCCTTCGCTGTTCATCGCAACATAAAGACCAGTATGAATTCCTTTAATACGCTGGAGTCCTCCTCCCATTGACTGCAGCTCAAGTTTGGCTGAAATGGAAAGAAAATGCAGTGAGGAAAGATAGGTAACAAACAGTTTAATGCTCTTGACAAAAAGTAAGGTTGTGGTTTATGACAACCGAAATGTCTTTCTCATTTTACCAACAACCTTCGCTGGCCACGATGAACTTAAGCGTAAAGAGTAAACAGCTAAAAAGTGCCTTGGGAAAGAACAGGAAACGTATATAAATAAACACTAATTTCAACAGTTTCCAATCCCCCCCTCCCCCCTTTCCCCACTATCGAGTCTTTTTCTCGATCGCACTGAAGGGTACTGTAGTGTTATTGTCCGAATCTTGCGTCCGTTTTACTGCCCAGGAGTTATTAAATAACGGCAATTTGATAAAACTGCAGTATTCATTCAAAAAAAACGACTAGTCTCTCTTACCGTATTTACTTGCACAGCGCGAGGTTCCGTTAATTGTCCCATCAGCAGCGATTTGAAGAAAACTCTGTGTCTTGCCAAACAGTCGAACAGCCATTTTAAACGAAGGTTCGCCGGCCGCAATATTGCTTATCTTTGGGTTGACTGTGAAAAGAGAACGACGCTGTCGTGCGGAGAGGACATCGGCTAGTCTCCAGGCCACAACGGGGTCAACTGATGTTGTTGAATGTTTTGTTGATTTAAGAACCGCCGAACGACACACGCCCAAAGTGAAGATTACTAGAAGAACTGTATTCTGTAGAGAGAGAAAAAAATGAACTGTAAGTTAATAAGTGTAAAAGTATTTAGGCAAGAAGGATAGAAGGCGGAAGGAAGCGAGAAATTGAAAAAAGGAAGTAAGAAACAAAGAAAGAAAATAATGAACCCACAAACCAACAACCAATGAAGCCTCAAAGAAGTAGAGTTTAACGGTTATTTAATCTAAAATGCGTGTGTTTTTTTCACTAGATTACGATGATGTTCACCTTCTTCAGGAAGAAAACTTAAGTTCGTTACACATAGCTCGCAATCATCATATCATGAGCCGTGTTTCGACTTATTGACTGTAACCCTAGTTATTGACTGTTTTTGCCCAGTAGTTCAAGGCAGTAAGTCATTGTTTATACTCTATGTAGACTCTCTGTAAACCTCAATTTGAAAACGTCACGGCTGCAAGCAATTACGATTTTCTATTTTGATCTTGATTCTAAGCAAAGAGAACATCAATCTTGTTTCTCTCTGTACGAAGTACATGTTGACAAACCAAAAAAAAATATGATTGTACTAAGTCAAGAAATAACAATGAATCGGTCATCTTATGTTACATAGGTAAATACAGAAACTTTGCTGCCAAATAATTTAGAAATGAACTTCTGTGTTCCAGCAGGTGGAGTGACTTTGGGAAGCGTTTCTAAAAAGCACGTTGTGGTGAAAGTATAGTAGCTTTAAATCCTGCATTAATTCTGTAGGCCTCTGTAGTAATTCTGCACACACAAAAAAACTTACCATGGTTATCCTGAGCATAATGGAAGAAAATAGTCTGAAAAGTTCTATTTAGAATTTTTTCTTCGTTATCTGGTTGCTTGCTTGCTTGTCCAAATGTCTGCATTGCTTCCAACCTGTAGCTGCAAGCCTTTTTATAGGTGAATTTGATACCGCTCTCGTGGGCTAGAATAGATACAAAATAGCAGGCCATTTTAACGTGATGTTCTAACTCCTAAAGTATGTCGTATGTGGGAGTTGTCTGTTTATCACCAAACCCAGCTTTCAAGGAGAGTTCTTTCTATTTAATTAAATTCAAATCTAGATTTTAACCAAGCTCACTCAATCATGTAATTTGGCATCAGCGGAAGCGGCTTTGTCATGCGTGCATTGAAAAATGTTTCGAATATGTCAGTGTATCAACCTTAGCTTGCATGCAACAAAGTTAACTTTTGACAAAAGGCGGGGTTTAGGGTAAGTTCTAAAGACAGGTAAGTGAAATTTAGAAATCTGATATCAAAATTCGTAGTTAGCAGGATTTTTTCTTTTTTGTAAACTTGTTGAACACATCAATTATGATAGATTTCCTGTACGTAGTTCTTTGCACGCGACTTGTGACAATGCAATTTACATGTTAATTCTTTGTTTGGAACAGGAT